TCGTCGTCGTCGTCGTCGTCGTCGTCGTCGGAGGAGGAGGAGGAGGAGGAGGAGGAGGAGGAGGAGGAGGTGGAGGTGTCCCAGGGCGCCCACCAGGCGTGGGGGCAGCCGATTACGGTCAGGAATTCTGGCTTAGCGTATCGCGCCGCCGCTTCTGGCCTACCACGCTTCGGCGCGACATGCTCACCACTTCCCGCTCCCAAGCGTCAGCGTCCCGAGCCTATCCCAGCCTCCCGCCCCGCGGAGCGGAGCGCCAAGCTAGAAGCTCGGAGGGCATAGCGTGTCGCCAGGGCCGCCGCCGCGACACGGTAAGCAACAGTTGATGACCGTATTCCTGAGATCTTGGCGTCGTATTGTTTTAATTGCGGGCTTTTTTGCTTCTTTTCGGGCGACAGGGGCATCACACATCACAACAATTGATTTTGTTTCGTGTCGGGCCCAGAAATCATTACAGATCGATCCCACCTGGACAACGCAGCAGGCAGATGGTGTTCAGGGATCCAGTCGTGTTTTTTCGCGATGTTGGCATTTTCGTGCAACGTCGGATCTCAGCGGCGTCGGATCTCAGGGATATACCAGCCGCCGGCCCTGGCCGAGACACAGTCCCTTGCCCAGGGTTGGAATCTCCGCCCCCTTTTCGAGGAAGAAGCAAAAGCGGCTAAAGCATGAACTTTCGCAGCTTCGCGCAGGTCCTTGGATCGGCTGGCGCCTCCAGCGCCGCCCCTGGCGCGCTCCGCGCGCCAGGGAGGGGTGGCCCTGCGCCGATCCAAGAAACCCGCGCGGAGCTCCGAGAGTTTATGCGTGTGCCGTTTTTTGCCACTCGATCGTTTGCCAGGCTCGGAAGTCGCGTCTACACCGATCCCTGCCCAGACACGCGGTGTCCCGAGGTTTGTTAGGCCAGGGCTCCCCGAAGCCCCGGCCCCTTGCCCGGGACCGGCTCTGCACCCCGAGCGCCGTCTTTTTTGCCTGCCCCTTGGGCCCGGCGAGAGCCCCCATGCGGGGGCCGAAGACACTGCAGAGGCCTCCGTCGCCATTTTCTTCGCGGCGCGAGCACGTCTGCGTGGGCTATAGCGCGGGGCACGGGCCGGGGCGGGTGCCGGTGCACCGTCGGCGTCCTCCCGGAGGAGGAGGAGGAGGAGGAGGAGGAGGAGGAGGAGGAGGAGGAGGAGGAGGAGGAGGAGGAGGAGGAGGAGGAGGAGGAGACCTCGAAACCTCTGCCCCACCGTCCGCAGCTGCAGGCGCTGGACGTCCGGGCGGGCGGCCTCCGGCAGCTCGGCTTCGCGCGGATCGGCGGGCTCCTCGGCACGGAGGAGCACGACCGGGCGGTGGAGCAGTTCACCGAC